ATTATGAAAATATACCTCGTGACAAATCAAATGATATTTATTTTATATCACAACTATTTATATTTTTATATACATAGTTGAATAAGTTTACTATACTGTACTAAAATACGAGACTGTGGTAGAATTGTTGTTGTTGTTTTTTTGGACAGGAGGACTGCTCCATGTCACTAGCAACGGCCCAGGCGTGCAGCTGAGCAGGGCGGAGGCAGCATGCATGCCAGTACCGAAGAGCTGGCAAAGTGGGCACTGAGCAGGGTGAGTGAGACACGGACCACAGCCTCAACACTACACGCCTGCCACTCCTAATTGCTAGACCTGACTGGCTAGTGAAGACCGCTGCACTGCGCGCTAATAAAGATGGAGTAATACGTTTCAACACAAAAAGATGGAGTAGACATTTACTCCGTACACCAGCTTTTTATCCACCACCGTGTAATGTAGTACTCCCTCCCTCCCTCCCTCCAAAAATATTTAGTTGATTAACCATGAATACCATGTGTTATATACTCGTACTCTAATCTTCACTTGCATAGCCATCTTCCAAAACTATTTAAATACTCGAAATATAGCCCCTCCATTTGAATAACCATGCAACTCTAGCTAGCTCTCTACCTTTGTCTCACAAAATGCAACTTCGGTCTTATAGAACGGCTCCGATCTTTCAACCAAAACATTACAATAGAACTGAAGGAGAACCATTACATTCTACGTACCTCGCTCTCGGCAACTACGAGGGGCGACACAAGGGTGAGCATTGAATGCTCGGGCGACTAGGCATGGTAGCGAGTGCTTGTTTTGTTGGACCTTTACAGAGATATTCCCAAGCTACTCAGGCCATCGCCCAAGTGGCCCTAAACCTAGACCAGCCCCGGCAAATTGGTTAACCGTTTGTGCTATATATGGACGCATAAATAAATATATACTTCATGTAACTTTTCTCTATCCGATTTTATATTTGCATTAAAGTCATAGAATACCAGATCGATTATATACATGGTGAAACTATTTTAAAGTTATGTTTATGACAAATAGTTAATGACTAATCATATAAAATTTAATATTTAATATTTAAATACAGATATTAAGTTAATTTAATATTGCCTTAATTCAATTTGAGTATTGTTATAGATTATACTTGATGCACCACTCAATTTATTGTTCTTGGAAAATATCTTTCGCACTTTACTTCATTAATTTCTTTATTTTATATATGATTGAAATAATTATTTAGTTGTAGATCTTCATTTTTATATTTAATAATTAAAATCGTTTCGTTGAGATTTGGCTTACGATGATTTGTTGTGAGAGGAAAACACTGTACCTTCGCTGAAAAATACCGCTGGAGCAGCTCAAGCGAACTGGGCTAGTTGATGAATCCTAGATACCATGTGTGTTATATACTCTTGATTACTTTAATCCCAAAGATATTGTTCTTCGAGAACTGTTGATAAAAAGAAAGATACTTCCTCAGTTTGAATAAGCATGCGATTCTAGCTCTCTATCTTTGTCCCACAAATAATACAACTTTAGCCTTAGTGTAGCATGCATAGTAGGTCCCGTTATTACTAATAATTAATAAATATATCTACAACACCATATCATGATTCATTATCATCCCCACAACTTCCATCTTATCCTCTCTCTCTCTTCCCCGATTGACCATCGCCCCACGCAACATGACCGTGTTGCCGTACTATGAAGAAGATGGCCTTTGGGACAGTGGACCAAGCTTTGACAGAAGATACGTCGTGAGTCGTGATGATGAACTCCACGGCGTCGGAGAAGTACGAGCACAGCAGCTAGCAATGGGTGAGGCCCTTCCAGACCAATCTAGGAGCGTTTGCCGCAGGCGCACCATGCCACCGTGGAGTGGGACACGAGCCGCCTTGACCGTCCCTATCGGCTCTGCGCGGACCGGCAGGCTTGTCTGGCCGGTCGACACCGTCAGTTGCCGATAGCTGCCATGCTACTCTAGTATCTAGTACGGAGTATGCCTATGCTGTGCTACGTGACGTAGGGTGGCTCATGTGGCCGTGGGCTCACTTCGGGCGTGTGTGGACGCGGGACGCCTTAACCGTGACCGTGACCGTGATCGCCTCGTTGCCACAGGAGTAGGGCATTAATCCATACGTTTTTGCCTTCTGCTTCGTTTGCTCTTCTTGCCACCGGAGTTCACGACTTCATGGCCAAATGGCCCGAAAATAATGCAACTTTATATACATCCTCGTTAAAAATGATCAAAGTTTGATCAAACAGAAAATACTTCTATATTCATAATAAATCTAATGATACTTATTAAATATTATAACTATTTTATACTCTTTATCATATATATATATAATTGGTCAAACTTTTTTAAGGAAATAATTGGTGAAACTTGAGATATTTAAAATGATATTGTGCTAGAATTGTATTCTTTTCTGATGAAGTGAGTAATATATATGGGACCCACATAAATAACAAAGCATATTGGGTCAATAGTATCGTTAATTGCTAGTTAGAAGCACATTGCTACTGAGAAGCACACAAATTATGAAATCAAACTTGTTATATGTCTATAAGAATTCATTTGGGACTCCAATTTCTGCATTAGTGCTATTTAATTTCCTAGACTTAGTAATCATTCTGCTTGGGCAAATGTAACCATGCCAAATGCCAAGGGTGGTCTGGGAATCAAGAACATTTATCTGTAGAATGATGCTTTGCTCACTAAGAATCTTATAATTTTTATAATATGGCCTTGTTTAGTTTCTCCCAAACTCCTAACTTTGGCACTATGCAAAAAAAGATTCTCCGTCACATCAAATTTGCGGTACATGCATGGAATACTAAAAGTAGACGAAATTAAAAACTAAATGCACAGTTTGGTTGTACTTTGTGAGACGAACATTTTGAGCCTAATTAGTCAACGGTTGGACAATTATTACCAAATAGAAACGAAAATGCTATAGTAGGGAACCTGGCACTATGCAAACTTTGCACATCCAAATTCTGGCCAACTAAACGCGCCCCAAGGTGGATGTACCTTGAGTACCTACTATTCTTCAAAGGTGCCCCATTTAATGCCATCTAAAGGTTCTATACGGTGGAAAGGATGCTTTCAATCTGATTATACCATATAGAGGTACTGCTACTTGTGTTGTGGATTCAGGAGCTTTAGTTAGTATCTGGGAGTACTGCTTCCTGGATCAACATCCTCAAGCTAAGTTCCCCACTCTGTAACAATTTGTTAGGAACTCTTCCATTTCTGTCCAGGGGTATCCAAACAACAAACCCGTTAGACCTCTTCTTACCAATGTCTTTGCTTGGCTGCTACTCAATGATCATCTAAATACCAGGAATATGCTGAGGAGGGATACAACTACGTTCTTTGTCAGGAAGGAGGAGAGGAAACAACACATCACCTTTTCTTTGACTGCACATCCAGTGTTACTCGATGGTTTAGCCTGGATGAGGGATACAACTACGTTCTTTGTCAGGAAGGAGGAGAGGAAACAACACATCACCTTTTCTTTGACTGCACATCCAGTGTTACTCGATGGTTTAGCCTTGGCCTTCTTTGCTCACCTCAAGTAGTGTCTATCAGCTGTTGGATCAACATATGTTGACCCTGCAGTTACCTTTCTTAATTGAGACCTTTGTGATTGCAGCCTGGTGCATCTAGAATGAAAGTAATGTGTTGATTTTCAATGGGAAGTTACCTTCGGTTGTTGCTTGGAAGCAAAGTTTTACAAATGAAGTTAAGCTCCATTTGTATAGGATCAAAATGTAGCTTTACACCCTTCCATCATGAATTTGTTAAACCACTTGTAATGCCGTTTTCCTTTCTTCCGCTAGTTTTTAGCTTGGTAAGTAGCTCTCAGTTAGCTTTTGGCAAACCGTTTCTATTCTTGTTGCCTCAGTTCCTTTAATGCAAGTGCGGGGGAGCTTTGCTCCACAGTTCTAGTTCAAAAAAGTGCTCACAATTTCAGAAGACTATTAGACTTAGCATTTGCGAAGCCATTAATAATATTTCAGACAAAAACACTAGCTGGTATTAAATGATTCAGATTATTTGGCAATCTAGCAAGGGGTTCCATGAGAAGACAATAAGCACGAAAAGCTTTAACTTATCAAAAACTACATAGTGAATCATAGACACAGAGGCGAAACCAGCAACTTTGATTAGGGGGGCCAGACAAACATAATGACACATCGTATGTGTGATAAATATGTACATAAGTGTACATTTCAACATATTTTTCTATGCTTCTATATATGTAGTTAGTGTTCATAACAAAAAATCACAACATTGTGATAAAGTACGAGTTAAAATGAGCTAAATATGCTTTGTATTGTATTATTAATAATTGTATTAAAAAATCGATGTTTTTTTTTGGGGGCCCCACTTTGGCCTTTGGTTCCGCTCACTTATCATTCCATAGCAAATATTTAGAAATTGGTTCCGCTCAAATACTCCGTAACAAAAAGAAAGACTGATAAACGGAGCAAGAACAAACCAAAAAGCTATGACAAGCTGATAGCTAGCAGTAGCCAGCATCGCGCGCCCATTGTCAGCTCGAAATAGTTTTGACTCATGTAAAGTTGATTCACAGTAAGCACCATGTATTCTACATACTGATTTAATACATCCTCCCTTATCTACAACTTACATAGATGCAAATGGTGCATTCATATTGTCTGAAGAAAGCTAGCAACGATTACAGAAAAGCACCAGCAGAAAACTAAATTACCAAATGGAACAATAAGATTTTATTGTTAGGACTGAACAGTGGAGCACCCTAGTCTGAATTACTCTCACCCAGACCGCCAGACAGCTAAATCCAACAAATGAAATAACTGGCATATTTTTTGTGCATATCTAAAAGAAAAGGTTAAAAAAAATGCGAGATCTTTTCTTAGCACAGTAGTACTCTTTATTCTTCAGCATGTTTTACCAAGCAAGGATTATTTCTATGTGGAATAGCAAGTTAATAGGAGTACCCCGGAACTACCTGTTATCACATTGACAGCACTGTCTGGAAACTAGCTGTAGTGATACCAGTATCGATTATTTGCCTCTCATGAGATCTGCTACAATCAGTGACCCCTGAAAATAAAACACCGAAACAATTGTGCTCCAAATGCTGATCTACACAGGCCTTAATTAAAAAAGAGTTGTGCATTTGGACAGCAAGAACTTGTATTCCGCAATTGTTCACCGTTCCTACACGAAGCTCAAAGCCAACGGTGAGAGGAGTCCTGTCTCCTGTGTCGATTGAAGGAAGCTGGATCCCTTGCTCTCTGCTGCGAGCGCACTGACGGAGGGCGCACCGCGTACAAAGTCAAACACAAAAGGACAAATCCCCCGTCAAGGCTTCATTCAACACAGAGGACAAGGCAAAAGCTCGGGGGGAAAAAAACTACCGGCGCCTTCATTTCATCCCCTTCCAGGCGCAGCAGCTCTGCTGATCCAGCCCCACCCCCTTTTTTTGAAACATCCCCGCCCCCTAGGCCGCCGCCTCCTGCCCCCACCGTACCCGCAGGCCGCAGCACGGTCTGCAGCCACCGTCCCCGCGTGCCCCAGCGCCGCGCTAGCTCCTGCCTCCGCCCAGGCGGAGAACGAAGCGGCGGCCGTGGACATCGCGGTCCGCAGCTTCCCTTCCGGGCCGGCGGCCGCCTTGTCTCCCAAACCATGGATGATGGTGTGGTGGCCATGGCCAACTGGCTGCTGGACGTGTCGCCTAACATGGATGGTGCGGCGCCGGCGGACGGCAACAACGGCGTTCCGGTACAGGACCACCACGGAGGCCCCTTCTACCCTCCCGTCGTCAGCTCCTCGCCCGCGGCCTTCTGCAATGCTCTCCACGGCGGCGAAGATAGTGTCGCCACGGCCGGCGCCAATGGTGGCGGGGGCTTCCAGTTCCACTTGCACCCCGGGCTCGAATCCGACGGCTCCCTTTGCATCATGGAGGAGGCCCTCCCGTGCAGCGAGCAAGATCACCACGGTACGCGCTGCATCGTCCAGTACTAGTTCGATCCTACAGTACTTGCTATTGCTACAGTTGCGATCTTGTTGATTTTGCTTGAAGCTAAGGCTATGGTTGGTTCTAACAAGTCTTTGTCACCTGACCGATCAGGAGTGGTGGAGGAATTCTCGGGCGCGAGCTTGGACCACTGCAGCTTCGACTACGGCGAAGGAGCATCTGGCAGAGTTACCTATTTTTTCCTCCTAAAACTTACAGTTTTACAACTCTAAAAAAGTATTAGAAGGGAATAAAGAAAGCTATCTCAAAGAGTTTCTAATAAATTGCTTATAAAAATCAAATTTGGGTCTCACATCTATTTTTTGTGGCTTTTTTTTTCTTTCGCCAGACGTCACAGGGCGCGCCGAACCGCGCCGGGCATAGCCGCATAGGGTAGTGAGACGCGGAAGATGTTTACTGAACGGGAGACGAGTGATAGAGAATGAAGAAACTCACATGATGCGGTCGCTGGTCCAGAGGATGGAGTAGTGGTGGAAGTCATCGGTGGGATCTAAGGGGAGGTCGTAGCGCTCCTCCCGGCCGGCGTGGGTGCTGTCGTTGCCGTACACGTTGGTTCCGCACTCGCCACTCGCGCCCGCCAAGACGTTGTCCAGAACTCGAAGTCCAGCTCGTCGTCGTCGCGCTTCTCGTACATCGCCACCGTTCGACAATTTGCATTGCATCGCATCGTCTTTTCAAAGATAACATCATTGGACGGGTGAGAGGTCCTGAGGGACAGGTTTGGTTGGTTCACGACGACTCACGTAGAACACGACGACGACGCCCGTCGCGTAGTCGGCGGGCAGCTTGATGGCGGCGCTGAAGAAGCCGTGGAGGAAGACGTCCTGCGACGCGAACCCGGCGCCTGAGCAGAGAAGGATCCGCGCGACTCAAGAGCCGCGTAAAGTTACGCGGAACTGGCTCAGTTTTCCCAAGTGCCTAAATATTAGATGGATTAGGAACTGTTGCAGAGAGATTTTTTCTGATTTTCCTAAAAACCAAGTATTAGGAAGGCAAATAGGGAACTCTTGGAGATGCTTAACCTACCGCCGCCACAATGAGAGGTGATCCCCGGTTCAGGCGGGCACGACTTGTACGATGGGCACGCGCAGCTGATGGACGACCAGTCCGTCGTGGAAATGGCGGCGAGGTTGTTCTCAGCCCCCGACAACAGCGGTGGCTATGATGCCACCGGCGACCAGTTCGTCATGGAAATGGCGGCGAGGTTGTTCTCAGCCTCCGACAGTGGCGGTGGTGACAAGTACTATTCCAACGGCGCCGGTGCCACCATGACATCGATGTTAGCACAGGATCAACGATCACAAGCAAATCACATGGTGGCTAAGCCTAATTCACAAGAACGCGCATGAACACGACGAACAGCCACGGCAACCGCCAGATATGACAGTGCCCCTATTCACTATTTAGATGTTCGATTACAAACACGGTTACAACATAACCAAAGCGCACACATGCTCACCAAACACCCAGCTATTTATACCAATAGCTAATACACACTGACGCACACAGAAACCATAAAAACGTGATACAAAGAAATGTCAGTGTAACTGCCAGCTCCAGTTCGCGCCGTGGGAGCGGTCACCACCTCCAGGCTACGCCAATCACTCACACTCTAGACATGAATTTGAATTCTTGTCTTTCCCGCCTTCACAGTTGTCCAGCGCTCCTCCTCGCTTCACCAGTGCAGCAGGCTTACACCAACAATCTCCCCCTTAAGCCTGATGCACCTCTAGCTCTCGGATACCTAACAGGTGCCTCATCACCCCTAGCTTCATCGCCGGCAGTGGCTTTGTCAGAGAGTTTGCTTTTTGATCCAAAGTCCCGACCCTCTTCACAACAATCTAGCCACGCTCAACACACTCCCTAATGAAATGGTACTTAATGTCTATGTGCTTGCTTCTGCCATGAAACATAGGATTTTTCATCAAAGCAATGCCCGAGTTGTTGTCCACCATCAATGTCACTGTCTTCAACTGAGTACCAGTGAGCTCTCCCAATAGATTCCTAAGCCACAAAGCTTGCTTAGCTGCTGCTGTTGCTGCCATAAACTTAGCTTCACATGATGACAATGCCACTGTTTTCTCCTTGTGGGAATTCTAAGTCACTAGGCTCTCATTCACATAGAAAGCCATTCCACCAGTGCTCTTTCTCCCCACAAGATCACCTCCTCCCCACAAGATCACCTCCAACATCACTATCAGTATACCCTACCAACAGTTCCTCTTTGCCTTCTTGAGTGTAGACTAACCCAAAGTTCAAAGTGCCCTTCAAGTATCTCAGAATTTGCTTCGCTACTTTCAGATGCTTGACAGTAGGCTTCTCCATGAACGTGATAGAACCGCCCGAAATAGCACGTTTCCGGAGGCGCTCGTCTTTCACTAGACACTAAGCACCCCGAAAGTAAGCTACACCAGACAGTTCCGTCGAGCACACCCCAAGGGAGAACTCGAACAATCCACGTTTTTTCATCCAGAATCCAATAATGAGAACAAGTTTACAATACTTAGTCCAATTCATACAACAAGAGTTCTTGGAAATACATTATTACAATACCAAGTTCAGAGTGCGGAATTTAAACAGTGGGATTGAAATAAACATCTAACGATAAGATATAAGGATCTGTCTATGCCCACCAGAAGAATCCTCCACACAACAACCACTCCTCAAGCTGCACCTGCAACAGGGGTAAATAAACCCTGAGTACACAATATACTCGCAAGACTTACCCGACTAGTGAGAATAATTTCCTGACTCCAAAGAATATAATAAGCTTTATGGTTTGGTGGGTTTTCTTTTTGTGAAAAGCATTACTAGTAGTGAATCCTTATGTATGTGTTTTGTTAGTAGTCATGATTAGTTCATTAGCTATCCATTCTATGTAAGCACTTGTTTCTACTTTCAAGCAAGAGTTGAACAATCAGATCTATTTCACCATCTTTCATATTCTAGTTATTACTACAGTGCTAGACCATAGCCAAGTCGTACCATATCACACAATGATTCGCAAACCAATATATCCCAGCTGGGTACCTCGAAACACACGCCCCGCTTGTACCCCAGGCACAAGCAAGACCAACCCATCACTCTCCTATCAAGGGGTCTAGGTCCCCGTCCAAACTTGGACTCTATGCCCCCACTCCTGAGTCTCGAACTCAGTGTGGTGCTTAGACCTCCACCATCCCCGTCTCCAATCAGTCGGTCCGGAAAGAGCCAGAACCCACGACAAGAGAGCAACGAGCCTTCCCGCTCCCATAAGCAAGTATGTGCTCAGGATAATAAGTATGTGCCCTGACTACCATCCACAGCAATGGATGGTCCTTAACCGACATGGATAGGGAAAACAGTGTAACCAAGCTATGCCCCATTGGTCGCGAGACACAACCTATTACACTCACCAATACTCGTACCATATCCCTGCCCGGTCTTCATTTTCTTTCACCATTTTATCATGAGAGTAATAATAATAATCACCTATTGTGAGTAACGGCAGGTTACTCACGCTACCGATAGCCTAAGCATAGCGGCTTCTCGACCTATGCTAGTAGGACTCATAGGTAGGTTTATCTATGCATGTAGTTTTAATATAAATCCTGTAACATAAATGCACATCACACACACACACACACACACACACACACACACACACACACATATATATATATATCCAGCGATTATTCAAAATAAGGGTTATGCACCGAGGCTTGTCTTGGGTAGGCGGATTGTCAGCTATGTCAATCGTCGGTGGCTGTGGGGCTTCCTCCTGTACGAGAACATCCTCCTCGTACTCCTCGATCACCTCCTCGTACTCCTGCTCTCCGGCGATCATGAACTCCACCAACTCATTCTCTACATGCATGTAATGATGATGCAACACTTAATATTTTGGCAACAACAACTCTTAAAATAAGAATACACATGCTAAGCTACTAAGCTAGCTCTAATGGCTAAGATACTAAGCTAATCATTATCTCTACCAAATAGATTTCAATCTCACCCCACAAGTGCTTAACTTTTATAAACCAATATCATGTCATTATTCCTTTAGCTTTAATGGGTATTTAGCTACCAAATTAAGTAGTCTATTCTAGGGCTACAAAAATGACAATGAGCACCTAATAATACAATGAAGCTACTATAAAAATTTCAGGGTTAAAGCTATCACGGATTTACCACAACAATTCCTACAAATATTATCATACTAATTTTAATGCTTTCAATTGATTTAATATATCTCAACATCATCATAGATAGGCATAAACTAATCACACCAACAGATAGATCATATTTTTAGGAACCTAAAAAAATTGGTTTCATGATTTTTGGACATTCGTACGAATTAATATGAAATATACAAATCTAACTCAGAATTGAAATAGAAAAGCTTTACTAATTCGGCTAGAAAAAGAAAAAGACCAAAACGGCCCAACGCGGCCCAACTCGGGCTTGGCCTGTGCACGAAGACGGCCCACGCGGGGAGCCCGCAGGCGCGTTGACGCTTTTGTAGAAAAGCACTTGACTTTTGGACAAACAACCCACGGTCCACGCTACTATTCCTAATGACAGCATTTATGCATAAAGGCCCTTGCACTATCTCCTCTTTACAACGACATCGTCCCTGGCCTCCCCTGCGTGCTCCGGCGCGGCGAGCGGTGGCACTGGCCATAGTGTCGGCCACCCGAGACCCATGCTAACCTAGATAAGAGGCCGAATCTCACCAAGGGGTCGACGTGAGGTGATGGGCGGCGGTTGCACGAGCCAGGACACCATAGAAGGACCTCTCCACGACGGCGGGCACCCTACGGCAATGGTGACGGTGTTCTGGTGAGCCGCAGCAACAACAAGGCAGTAAGGGTAGCGGATGAGCAACGACAACTCACCAGTGACCTAACCGAGGTGCCGGCTCGGCCGAAGATGACCCGAGCGAGGTTGGCCACATGTGCGCTGTGAGGTGAACGGCGGACTGCAAAGGTGAAGGGTCGAGATGACGGACTAGAGGAGGGGTGAATAGTCTTTTCTAAAAGTAATCGTGTCGGCTAACCGATATAAATGCGGAATGAAAATAATCGGTCTGGCCAAGACTACACCCCTCTATATATGTTCACTAGCACCTTGCAAAGATACTAATAAAGCAACTAAGGTGCCGGACTAGCTAGAGCTCTCCTAAACAATTCTAGGAGCAAGGTCACACAAACCTATGCCACTAGTACTTTAAGTAACAAGGGAGCTCCTACTCATGCTAGTAAGCAAAAGCACAAAGCCAACTAAGCTCACTAGCAATGCTCAATAACAAGGCAACCAATGCCTAATTAGAGAGCGCAAATACTTAGCTACACAAACTAAGCAATGTGACTAACAAGGTTACTAAAACCAAATTAGCCACGCAAGGGAGCTACTTCTATGCTACACAAGCAAGAAGGTAATTAGCTAGCTACACAAGCTATCTAATTACAAGAGCAACTACACAAGCTTAAGATATATATAAGTAATTGCAAGCTTGTGTAATGGGGATGCAAACCAACGGGAAGAACAAGGTTGACACGATGATTTTTCTCCCGAGGTTCACGTGTTTGCCAACACGCTAGTCCCCGTTGTGTTGACCGCTCACTTGGTGGTTCGGCGGCTAATTAGCATCACCCGCTAAGCCCGCACGTCGGGCACCGCA